TGCCTTGGTCCAAGTTTTTCTGTGGTTTCCTTGGATCACTTAGGCAAATGCTGAGGCAGTAATATTCCACAGATAATCTTTCACTCTCTGCTGTCTTCATTTCGTCCGTCTCATCTTTCTCACCCGAACCACCACCCACCCATTCCTACGATTCCTGAAAGCAGGCTGAAGAGGGCCTTCCGCCCTACCTTCCGGCATAGTCCGGGTGGACTGCCCGCCCACCAACATCACTGGCTAGTGGGAATGAAACACCCAAAAGTTTAAAAAAGTTTTAGGTTATGATATGTAGAATTACCATTATTAAAATGTAAGTGCTATGCACAATCGATAATGGCACCCATGCTTCAAGTTTTCAAAACTACGCTGAATGTCTTTAACTGTTATTTTAAGTGCGAAAGAATTAGTGTACGTACACAAAAATTAATAGTATTCAAAAGAAAAAAGAAGAACTGCGAGAAAAGATGTTGAAGGATTATTCAAATTTATTTCTGATAAAATTATGAAATTCTCAGAAAATGAAATAAACAGATTTAATTTACTTTTTTTTACACTTTTAAGTACTTTATGCAGTAGAACCTCTTTAAGCCGAACCTCTATAAGTTGAAAACATCCAAAACTCGAAAAAATGTTTTGTTCCCTTCCCTGCAAGCCATTTTGGTACATATTTTCCTCTATAACTCGAAAAATTAAATTGGACCTCTGTATTTCGAACACAACAATGTTTTATTTTACAACCTTCACAACTCTATAATTTGAAACTTATTACGTCTATAGTTCGAAGAAAACTAAGTTATCGAGTTTAAGGATTTACCGACAATGTAAGTACACCAAATCTTAACCTCTACAAATCGAATCAAAATCCGCTTAAGTCAAAATCCTCCATAAGTCATAAACTCTATATTTTTTAGCGTCTCCCTTGATGGTTGAGTTATAGAGATTCTACTGTATTTCGTTAAGAGTGAGTGCATGGCATTAGCCTTTTTATGTAAATATTACAAAATTAAGCGTAAGGAATGTCTCTTTACTTTTTAATATCAAATTTTCGTACCCTTCGCCATCATACGTTACGGGTTCACTAGAAAATTCAAATAATGACAAAAATCTATTGTTTAAAAATTGGCACTAAAAGTAGGCTATACTGACCCAGTTACCAACAAAGGTAAAAAGGTGGTAACTATTCAACTATGAAAAATTTTGTGTATGGCCAAATTACATGTAATATAGTTAATAAATTGAGAAAGAGAACAGACTTATTGTTGCATAAATACCTGGATTATTAAACTTACTATAAGTAGGTATATCGACATATTGTTGTGTGACAGTCACCGGAACCGTAAGTTAAATAAACTGTTATGTGTTCTTAAAGTGTTAATTTTTGATTTGATTTGCAGAGTTTTTATTAGTAATAATATTTGTTCTGCTTGTTTTTTATTTTAAATTTGACATTAATACAGTTGGCTGTGCGTTTTACCATTCTGTTAAAATGTAATCAGAGCTTGTTAATTCATGTTAATTAATTAAGTACAGCGTATAATTTTTAATTACGAAGAAAATTAAATTTAACAGAAATATACAAAATTTGCATTCACAACAACCGTTTCACTAAACAGTAGCCTTTTCAATTTGAAAAAACTATCTATTGGTTATTATAATGTAAGTTATTTTTATTTCCTAAAACTTCTTTTTTTCCAAAATAGATAAACTTGTAAATACCTATCAAAAATTAGTTCTCATCCAAATTAGCGTTACACTGAATATTTTGGAGCATTTATTTTAATGCTATTTTATTATTTATCTGTTTAATGTTTAGGAGTGGATTTTTACATTAACGCATTGCTATGATATGGCTTAGATTAATATAATCCATGTCGTATAGTAGTTATGCACTGTACGGTACGCAATATGACTGAATATACTAATACTAACACAAAACCACGCTTATGACCGTGTCATCGTAAAATCCGACTACTTATATAGTAACTAAGTAAAGGCAAAGGTTAATCCATCAAATATTATAAAATAAACTTAAATATTAGAAAATAAATTTGTACAAAATTAATAAACATAAGAAGAAAAAAGGTGTAGCGTCAACTGAGAATAGAGACCAAGCATGTTATAAAGCACAAACTATAACGAGCATGTTCTCTTATTGTGCTATGTGCCAGAGCAGCGTGCAGTATGTTTTTGGATTTGACGGTGACGTATGGAGGCAAGCATGACTTGTGGTGGTATTAAGTATATTTAGAAATATTACGTAGGTACGTATAGATTAAGAGCTTATATATATGGAACCGAACGGCATTGCCTAGAGGTTTAGACCATTGCTTAGCATTCGAGTCGATTCCGGGTCCGTCTGCCTTGGTCCAAGTTTTTCTGTAGTTTCCTTATATCACTTAGGCAAATGCTGGGACAGTAAAATTCCAGAGATAATCTTTCATTCTCTTCTGTCTTCAATTCGTCCGTCTTATCTTTCTCACCCGAATTACCACCCACCCATTCCTACGATTCTTGAAAGGAGGCTGAAGAAGACCTTCCGTCCTACATTCCGGCGTAGTCCGGAGAGACCGCAGCATTTAGAGCTGGTGGGAATGAAACACCCAAAAGATTTTTTGTACACATGGAGGCAGCAATCTATACTACAGCAGCATGATCAAGCATAAAGAGAGATAGCAAGTCAGTTGCCACCATCGACGTTTACTAATGGTCATGCCTTAGCGGTCAGACTTGTGGTACAACAAAAGAAAGAGATGGAACGAAGTTTCGGACAATATCCATCTCTTTCCCGATAGTGCGTAAGCGTGTCATGAAAGAGATAGCACTAGTCCGAAACCATACGCCATCTCCCTCACTTTTCGAATCAGGAAATTATTACAACGACATACGGCTAAGGCACGTCCATTAATATACGTCTATGGTTGCCACATTATTTTACTCTCTCTAGCTCTCTAACGTCTATATGAAGATGTAAAGAGTTATGGGTCTTGAGAAAGGAGAAACAATCAGTCCGCATTAAAGAGGGAAATAATATAGCGTCACATTTCCTAGCTCTCTCTGCGCTCGACCACGCTTCCAAAGTACATAATGTTTCCTTGAAACTGCGAAAACGTTAATAGATACCACAATGTATCTAAGACAGTAAAGAGCATTCCATATCGTCTAATCGTATGCCTAAGAAATTCTTATAAAAACACATCACGAATAAGCCCATAGTTTCGCTAGTGAATGGATGGGTGCCTTTATAATTGTATTGGGTTGTCAATAAATGTAGCTCGTTTATACAATATACATGTATCTAGACTTACTGCATCCAATTGGGACTACGCATACATCTCTACTTGTTATATTTTCTCATAGCACCCTTAGTGGAGAGTTAGGCACACTTCTCTCAATTAGATCCCATAATTTCAGTACTCGATGTATGATCACTTCTTTTACGCTGTGACCTAACCTAACCTCATTTTTATAATAGTGTAACTTACTTATCAATTTATAATTATTGTAATTGTAGAACAAAACTTAAGAATTAGATGAAAAATAAGTATTTCGATATTATTGGAATATTTTTTTGTTTTGTAATTAATAAAAACTTTTAGTATAACAAAAACGAAACACTCAGTATATGATTTCATTTTTATTAGTTTCAGCGCTCTAATATATTTTCATTCCATTTAACCATTTCAAGGTTTATTGGCTTTTTCTATGAAACCTTGTCATGCTATTAATTTGTTTATTTTCATTGTCGAAAACTTTCTATTTGTTCACTGGTTCAGTATAAATTAAATCAGTATTTACAAACCATTAATTCTAGATCAATTTCTGTTAACTTGTTATAATAGTTAATATAATTTACAGCATTTTCATGAACTAAGGCAAGTGCATTAATTCTAATGCTATTTCATTCATATGAAACGTAAATTACATTAACTAATATAAAAAGGCAAGATTAATGTTTTTATAACACCGTCTTAATAAGCAAAAGATAAAGAAGTTTATAACCCCTACTATAGTAAGATACTGGTAACGAAAGTATGTAGTGATAATGTGAGCTTGGCAAGTCTCAGTAAACGGTGCGACTCTTTTTTTTTTGGTACGACACCATGGCTGACGAAAAGGTATTCTGTTCTTTCGAAAAACGGGAATTAAAAACTTTCTAAAGTTGCCTATTTTAATTTTCAGAAAGTTACAACTTCTTTTACAATTAGTTCAGAAACAAATAAGCAAAATAATAACGTGGTAAGTAACTTTCTTTAGTGTATTACAATATACTGCTTGGTTTAGATTAAAGCATAACAAATCGTTTAGTTGATAAAGTGAAATTTTAAAATAATTTGTACAAATTCGCGCATATACTGTTTTGTTTACTTTAATTTTCGCCTAGAGGTTATTATTAAAATTAAAAATAACGGTCAATTATTAAGTTAAACAAGTTTGCATTTAATTTCTTCAACAATTTAAGAATGATTAATTATTATTTATTATCCTGTACATTGTGAATGTAAGTTTTCAACTACGCGCACTTTTTCTTTTTATAAAAAAAGTTAGAGAAGTATCTTATTGATTACGGTGAATGTTAACATATTTTGTTCATTTTTTGATTTTTTCGTATTGTCCACTTATTTAATGTAAGCAGTTATTATTACCTAGATAGTTTCCATATCTTCTCCAAAAATTGTTAGTAGAATAAAATCCAGCTAATAAAGGTTTATTTGTTGTGAAACCAAAGTAACGTTTTGCACTCATATATGAGATTTTCTCAAGGTAGTTTTCTTCGTTAATTCATAATGACATCAAATGTTACTGTTTGTAACAAAGGTTCAGAACGAGAATATTTATACACCACATTACATATAAACTTAATAAATATACTTAAATAATTAAAATCGTTACTCTGAAGGTAACACATTGTATAAATAAAACAGTTGATATCATAATTAATTAAAATACCGCGTGATCGGCAACATATAATTTTAACAAAAGAATTACCCTGAGAAACATTGTATGTGAATGTCAAAAGCCGGTTTAGTTTACAAAGAAATAAACCTTGCACCCCTTACTGGCTTGATTTTACTGTGATTATTTTGTAAATCTTTTCTTTTAACATTGATTCCGTTTTTTATTGAATGTATGTACGTAAAAAATTTCGTATTGCGTTTTATCTAAAGTGAATATCTATTTGTAATCAACAAATAAGTAACAAAGATTCCGACTTTATTGGTTTAAGGATTACTTTTAACTAGAAATTGTATTAATGGAAATATAATGAAAATCATTTAATAATAATTAGCTCAACGTTTCCGTTTCTTTAACGCAATGACCTTATTCAACGTTATGTTAATAGGATTACCTTCGATTATAGAAAATGGATATTTCGTAATTTATTTTACACTTATTAATTGCGATATGTGCAACAATGAACAAACACGAAGGGGTCTTAAAATCGAAATTAGAAATGGGATAATAGTAAATAAAACTTTGACTACAAAGCATTTACAATTTTATGAGAACATACTAATAGACGTAAATTCTGAAAGTTGCCTTTTAGTTTTACTCCCAGAAAATCCATTAAACACAGATTTTGTTGAAAATATCCAATCTGGAAATAGCTCGTATTTGTCAGAAAATGATAAGATTAGTGCACAACATAATCTCGTAGTTAATTTTTAGGTAATAAAAGTAATACATACTTACATACTTTTACAATTGCATGTTTTTAGTTGTTCATTGTCTAGGACATATATTCTACTACACAATAACATTAAAATGTTTAGAAATGCATTGTAACTATGAACACAATAACTATTAAAAATTAAAATAATAAAATGTTAATAAAATAGAAACGTAAGCACTTAATAAAAAAAAAATGTTTAGTAAGCAACCGATAAGTTCATTTTCAGCAATGTGCACCCCTTTTGCTAACTTACAACTAGGTCTATATTTTTTTCGAGCTTTTTAAAATATATGTCCCAATAGTTGTGATTTCTATGAACATACCGTTAAGCATTTTGGGTGTAACAAACTTTATCTTGACTTGGAGAGTGTAAATTCGTTGCATTAGTGAATTCATTTTTGAATGAATTAACCTACTACAAATTACCTCAAATTAATTCCAAAATTAATTCATTAATGCGTCAAATTGAACAAAAATTCAAAGTGTCTCAGTGTAAGTTCGGCCGATTTAAGGGCCTTTAATTCGGCTCATGTATACGCAGATATCTTAACTTCACTCTTATGTTTACTAATCGATAGCATCTTCTTTTTCAACCATTAAAAAGAAAAATGAGTATCCTACAACCACTTTACTCCAAAGTAAGTAATCTCTGGCTTTTTATTTCTACTTATTAGTATTTGTAGGATAGGTTGACTTTAAGGATTAAAATTTCCCCCCCCCCCTCCATCCTGGGGATCCGATTTGTACAGGGAGGCTTAATTTACATATTCTATTTTTCTTTGAATTCTTTAAAGCAGCCGAATTTAGATTCTGACTTGATGACCTTTTGACCATAATAATAATGGACAGTATACTTCGTTTAGTTTCTCTAGCGATGTGAGCCTTAGTTTGACCGGCGCAAAGTAGAAGAGAATAGTACTAGGCCAGACAAGAAAGGAGACAACTGTCGGCCAAACTCTTAACCGGTGAGGAGCGTATAATCCGTACAGTACTGCACGGAAAAATTGACCATTTTATCCACTAAAATTGCATTGCTCAAATGTGCTGTTATTGGTACCATTNTGTACTACCTAATTATTGTAGTTTAACGGGTACTAAGTTTCGCTAAGATTGATTGTTTTTTCTGTGAGTAAAATTTAATGTCAAAATAGTATAAGCGGGAGGCTTGCACCATGGTGGATGCAGGAGAAATGCTCAGTGGTTCGTGTCTCCCTCTATAGTGTCTGTATGAGGATATTTGGAGTTTTATTTTATAGATGTAGAAATTTAAAACTTTTTGACTATATTTCTAAAGATATTGATGATTTCATTTGTCATAAATGTGACCAAAATTAGATAATTTAAACAAAAGGTTAAGAAAGACCAACATGTTTGATTGAACAACTCTCCCCAGGTCCCGGTTTAAGTGACCCTAAGGGTTGGGACAGTTGACTGATCCCATTTTTCATTCAAACATATTTCAGTATTATAATATCGAAAAAGTGATTATGTATAAGTAAACTTACATAAATAAGCTAATGTTTATTATTATAATTAAATACTAAGCCTCATTAGTAAGAAAATACAATTCTTTAAATAAAAAGCGGTCCAACTCTCCCGAACTTCCCCTACCTACTTTCAAAATTACATTATATTTAGTTTAGTTATTTACGGCCTTATAAAACTATAGGTTTTTTTTGATATCGTTTATTGCAATACGATAGACAAATTGATCTATTTACTTTTATACATTGTGAGTTGACGCATGGATTATACTTTTACAAGCTATAAACAAACCGTCAGATAATAAGGAATTATCAGATAATCATTAGGAAAATGTCCCATGGAAAAACCCTATTCTATGTCTTTTCAAGGAAACTAAGTAGCCAATAAGAAATCAAATTCTAAAAGGTTGAAGAGGGCCTGAACCGATAGATCCTGTAACGGCCTGAGGTACAGGGGTTTTAGTCGGTAGGTCCGAGGACACGTTCCTCGAGAATCCGACACTGTCTTTTGAAGATTTCCCCTCTTCCACGAAAACAAGAAAAAACCAGCACAAGCTTTCTCCGACATTCCACCCACCAGAGGCAAGAGAAAGGAAGATCAAACTCATTGTCATTTTTGCTCTTTTCACTTCGTTGTCATTAGTTTTGCTTGCGCTGTATCAATTTGTTCTCATCGAATTGTGTTAATTAATATATTTTTTTGCTTGAATGTATTAGACTAATTAGTTTCGTTGTTAGGTTACTATTGCTTATCTGCATTTCTAGTTTCTCGTAGTACTGGTTAATGTTTTTCTTTTCTGTGTAAATAAATACTGAGGACATATCAAGATTGATACTGTCATTTTCTGTCCCGATTGTTAATAGCACATTTGTGCAAAAATGGTTTAGTAAATTTTCGAATTGGTGTGGTTCTTCTTTATTTCCTAAACAAACATAAAATACGTAGTCGACATACATATCTATACCAATAAATGATACATTTAATTAAAGAGGAATTATTACTGAATAGATTAGATTCAAAACTTGCTGCGTATACTTCAGCTGAAATAGGTGATAACGGCGATCCCACATAGATAAACCATCCTTTAGTTTAAAATACCTGTCTGCCTGTTTAAAATAATTTTGACCCAGACGCTATGTCGATACTCAGTCTAACACTTGTAAAGACCATTTATTATTAAAACCAGCGAATATGTTTAATTTATTTTCTTTAGGGAGGCACAGAGCTATTAATATTTTCAATAGCAATACTTTAAATTTCAACATTTAAGAAAGCTTATTTTCAGTCGTATAACCGCATTTTAGTTATGTATTCCTTGTGAAAATTTTATTATTTAGGAATTTTGTGCATGGGACTGCGAATACCCAAGAAAGACAATTTTAATTCCTATGAAATAAAAGGACGACAAAACGTCCAAGGTGGCATGCGTTTCGACAAAAATGCGTGTTTACGAAATCGAAGGAATAAATGGTTCATAATTTGAGCTTCTTTTTAACCGATTTTCAAATTTGGATATGCAACCGAAGGTGGATTTAAGAAGGTGATGCAAGTGATACACTTTGCATCAGGCCCCGCAAGTTTACATTTCTTGAAAAAATTGAAAATTACGCGTTATTTAGGAATTTTATAGTTTGCCGTTCATTTCTTTTTTTTTTTGAAAAGGCACACCCAGAAAAATCGATGCAATGTTTCAAGATCCGCTACTGAACAATAAACATACCACTCTCAAGTAACATCATTCAATCGGAAATGAATAATATTGAAATGAAATATCTACAAATCGAATATAATCAATAATATCATAAAATACGTAAAATACGCTTTCAATTCAAAACATAATATAAATAGGTAATTACTATAATCATAAATTAATTATGAATTATTGTTCAATAAAACACCTAAGTGTATAATTTATAGTAATAAAACAAGTACTATCTATATAAATGAGACATTTAGGTTAATAAATTAAATTTGCAGAAATTAAATGTAAATAATAAATCAAAACTCATCTTTTTAGACAAATGTGGAGTTTACAGCATGTAATGAGTGTTATGCAGTGTATATGGGCCCATCAATAAGA